GGGGGTTAGCTGTGCTTAAGCTAAGTCAAAAGTGTGCTAAGGCCCTAAAAGACTTCAAGCTATTTCAGGCTATATCAATAACAAGACCCAAAAGAGTGATGGTCCTGCCCTGACCTGAGCTGTTCACACTGCTCTGGTCTGTGTTCTGATTTGTGCCTCTGGAGGGATGATGACATCCACAGCTAGTGCACTGCTATGGTTTGAATGTGTCCCCCAAAGTTCATATGTTGGAAATTTAATCCTCAATGCAACAGAGTTGAGAAGTGGGACGTTTAAGAGGTGATTAGGTCCCAAGGTCTCTGCCCTCATGAATGGAATAATGTTATTGCGGGAGTGGGTTCATTATCTTGAGAGTGGGTTTGCTATAAAGGCAAGCCCTCTTTTGTGCTCTCTCTCTCTTGTTCTCCCTCTCTCCCTCCCTCTCTTGCCCTTCTGTCTTCTGCCATGGGATGATGCAGCATGAAGGCCCTCACCAGATGTAGGGCCCTTAATCTTAGATTTCTTAGTCTACCGAAGTATAAGAAAGAAATCTCTGTTCTTTTAAACTACCCAGTCACAGGCATTCTGTTACAGCAGCACAAATGAACTAAGACATTCCCACAGGAGATGCAGTACGGAGTAATCCATAGAGTCCACCAAATGAGGAACTGGTGAGGTGACCAGAAGTGTTCAGCCAGAGAAGAGCAAACTCAGGGTAACAATCGCCATGTCACAGGATCTGGCTGGATGCCCTGAGGCATGCCCTGTGGCCCCAGTGGTGGAGCTGGGTCCCAGGGGAAGTCATGGGGCTGGTGTCCCAGCCCCAAGTGAGAAAGGACTTTCTCCCAGGTGGATTCATCACCCAGGGGAAGGACTATTTTCAGGGAGTGGGCTCCCCATTCCTGAGGGCACACAAGTAGAGTCTGGACATATCCTATCAAGGAAGCTGCAAAGTGGAGACTTGGTGTGGAAAGTTAATTAAAATTACTTCCCACCCTAAAATTAAATCATGTGTTCATCTCTTCATTCCTCAGCAAATCTGGTTTATCTGTGTCCTGTGCTCAGACTGGAATGCAGGGAACTTCTGTCCAGAGCTGAGGGTTTGAGGGGCTCTGAGAGACAGGTAGGGTCTTATTAACCCTCAACTTTCCCTACATGTAGGATGGGGGCTTGAGGAATGAGGAGCTGCTGAAAATGTCCTTTCATAGACCCGACTGACTGGGGAGGAGGAGGAGGATCAGAGCCGCTCAGAGCCAATCCATGACCCAGATTCCTTGTAATTAATGAGCCTACGTCATGATGTGTTGGCTTGTGACCAACGCCATCTCCCCAACCCCGGCCCCACTCCCTGGTATGAGAAGATTAAATCAATTAAGAGGAGGAGGAGATCTGGCTGGCGCTGGTTGGGGACAGCAGATAATTCACTTACGTAACAGGGGATTGAGGTTTGGACTTGGCCCTTGAGTAGTGGGGGTGGATCCCAGACCCCAGGCCTTTGGAGAGGGACTCCAGGATTTGCGAGTAAATGTAGAAGGGGAAAGGGAGTCCAGGGGAGAAGGCAGTGCAGACCCCAGGCCCATCTTCCATCTTCCATCTTCCTGCTGAGAACGAACCCCCTATTCTCTGGGCTGGAAGAGGTCCAAATTGAAAAATCACTGTCCCATTCCCAAATGAGGGTGTCCCAGCCACCAGTATCATTCAACAATGCAAATCTAGCCAAGCCTCTCTCCTTAGCCTGGCATTCAAAGCCCTGAAACCTCTCCAGCTGCAGCTTCTGCTTCCAAGGGGTGAGTGTGGGTAGAGAGGAAACTACCATGTCTTGGTGTTCCCTCTGTGCCAGGTACCAGCTGGGCACTGGAGGTACAGAGAGAAATGGACCCAGCTCCTTCAGGAGGGCTGCCTGGTGCAGGGACACACACGACACTCCACAGCAAGTGGTACAACAGAGTTCTGCATGGGTGGGGCATGGAAGGGGCACACCTGAGGGAGGCCTCCCAGGCAGGGAAGGTTCTAGAAGACTCTCCAGAGGAGGCAGCATTTGCACCCTGAGCCTTAAAGGAAGGATGGATTAGTGGGAGTTCATCAGGCTGACCTGGCTGAGGGAGGGCTTTGGGTGGAGGGAACAGTGTGTGCCGCAGCATGGAGGGTGAGAGAGTTTGGCACACATTCAGGGATCATGAACAGTTCTTGTGGATGGAGCCTGGAGCGTGAGGCAGGGAGGGGGGAGACGAGGCAGGAGAGGTAGTCGGGTCCAGGTCTCGCTCTTGATGGCATGCCAACAAAGGACCGAGGCAAGGCTCCTAGAGTCTCTGATCCATCCACACTTCCTTAAGCTCTGACAGCACGCCAGGCCCTGTGCTGGGACTGGGGTGGAGTGGCAGCGGGGGAGACAGAGACGAACGTGACTCAGGCCCTGCCCCCCGAGGAGTTCTCGAAGGGCACACAAATATTCCCCCTTTCCAAGCTGGGATTCGAGCCAGCTGAGTGTTTCTGGAGCTCCAGCTGTTGGATGGGCCTGCCTCTATCCTATCCTGAGGACCGAGATACCCAGACAAGCAGCCTTGCTCATCAAAAGGAAGCTGACCTCTGGGGGCTGCTCCTGACACTTAGCTGGGGCCCTGAGGACCTGTCTTATGGTGAGCAAGGGCCCCATGAACGAATGCACACAGAGGAGAGACAGTGACAGGATGAACTGTATCCTGGGGGTGGGGGCGAGGCATGGATTGAGAGGTGTTTAGAAAACAGACCCACCAGGACTGACTGGCTGCCAGGAAAGAGAGAACAAGGAAGGGTCTTGGATGGTGCTCAGGATTCTGTCTCAGGCTGTGTCCTCCTCTGGGAAACACAGGAGGATGTGAGGTCAGGAGGGGAAAATGAGTTGCAACTCTTTCAGGCTGCTCAGATCACAGGATTCATCAGGCCGGCCAGGAGCCTTAGGAATTCAAGTGGACCACACACAAGCTGCCTGCAGGAGCTTTCTTCATCGTGTGGCATTCCTCCTTCTACTCCCTCCCTCCCCTGTTCCCTTCCCTCTGTCATCATTTCCTTGGGCAGCTCTCTGAGTACCTCCTCTTCCCAGGCTGGCTCTGGGCCAAGCAGGGAGGCACAGCTCTGAGGGTCATCCTGTTCTTTCTCCAGAAGGCCAGCCCTAAGCATGACACTCCTGGCATAGACAGGACTTTTCTGCAGGAAAACTTGGGCTGGGAATTGAAGCTAGTGCTTCCAATGTATTCGATTGCTAACAAGATTTAAGAACTAACCTTTGTTGTTGCAAACAACAGAAACTGACTCAGGCTAAACAAACGTATTGGCAGTTCCGCCAGTCAGCTCAGAATGGATGGGAAAGCTGAGGAACCAAATGAGTGGGCAGCCAGATTCACAGCCAAGTTCATGCCATAGGAACAGCTGGCCCCAATGCCTCCACCAACGTGCCCTTGGCCTCTGAACATCACCCAGACTGATGCATGACACCAGCACAAATGAATTGTAATGAAGCTGTCTCCCAGCCTAATTCTCATGTCAAATCCTGAGCCAGGCACCCAGTTGGTCTAATTGCTAGGGGGTAGAAGTGGCGGGGTACCTGGCCACCTTTGACTGTGAAATAGGAAGTGGGATCCTAGTTTCCATAAGGGCTCATCTAGTGGGAGATTTACTCAAAATACAAAGCAATGGATTAGTCCTAGCAGCAAAAAAATGTGACAAATGTCCTCTGCACATTTATTGAGGACCCAATAAGTGCTGGATGCATGGCCATCCATTTTATATATACAAATTTTCAATGCAACACTATAACCTAGAAAAGCATTAATTCCATTTTATAGCTGAGGAAACTGAGGTTAATAGAGGTAAAGTAACATTCCCAAAGTCACTCAGCTGGTAAGTAATGGAGCCAGAACTTGAACACAGGTATTTTGTTGTTGTTAATAAATACTTTATTCTGCCTCCCAAATTGTAAACACAAAGCACTTGTGCATATCAAAAGAAAAAGTGTGGGGCACAGAAAAATAACTAGAAGTAAATATTCCAATATCTTTATACAATGGTTGATGGGATAATCGGGTTGTGAATAATATTTTTTTCCTGCTTTTCAATGTTTTTCTGTACTTTCCAATTTTTTTAAATGAAGAGCATACTTTACCTTAGTAATCATAGATAAAAATAAAGTAAAACATTTTTAAAGATTATAGCAGTGTTACCACAATTATGGAGAAGATATGTATAGAAAAAGAGACTGGAAGGATATTTGTCAAAAAAAAGTCTTTAGACTGGGCGCAGTGGCTCACACCTGTTATCCTAGCACTCAGGGAGGCCGAGGCCGGTGGATTGCTCAAAGTCAGAAGTTCAAAAAGAGTCTTTAGATGGTAGTAATATGAATGTGTTTATTTTTCTTTCAACTTTATTTTTCAAAGTTTCAGTAGTGAACTCATTCTCAAAAAAAGAAGTGATATAAATTTTATTTTGAAACCAAGTATAAGAATGATATTAACCCAGTGATGGGACCAACATGTGTTGGTCCTTCCAGGTTCTCATGGTCGTATCCTACAGTGGTTTGGAAGCAGAGGGAGGTCTGAGTGTTCTGGGGCAGCCGGCAGCCCCCATAGCGTTTGCTGGCAGAGGTGGTGTAGCTGACGTTGGTCACAGTAGCCACAGTCATCTCGGCCACTCGGAGCCAGGGTGGGAACAGCCCAGCGAGCCGCCGCCTCTTGTAGCAATGTGAATGTTATCAGCCCTTCAGAGCTGTGGCTGGAATCCTCCTTGAGGCTGGTTCTCATTCCCCAGGCTTCAAGGTTCACCTTCCCCGCTGCAAATGGGGCCAGGCTGCTCCACCATGTGAGTTGTAGTCCCCTCCGAGGGGCCTTCTGCGTCCTTGTCTGAGTGGCAAGCCCCCGGCCCTTCCCCCCTGCACTGTCATGGCCTCTCCTGGCCTCCAGGGCCCTCTGCCTCCTCACCCTTCCAAGTGCAAGGAGGGTTCTTGGTGCCCTGTGCATACTCTGCGAGTCACTCCCTTCTCTGCTTCTCAGTTTTCTGCTGGGTGAAGCGAGGCAGCTGGGTAATCTCAAAGGCCTTCCACCCCAGTGGTGACACTTGTGTCTCTCCCACCCCTCCCCAGACCCCTTCCCTCCCTTCCGCCTTCCCAGCTTCCTGACCAGTCTGCTCCCTCCCCTTCTCTGCCAGGTACACTCCCTTCCTGCTGAGCCCTGGCTCTCCAGGCTGTGGCCCGCTTGGCTCCTGCAGGCCGGCTCTGCAGTACGGGTGCAGAGCAGCAGGACACAGGAGAGGCGGCCTGGGAGGAGGACAGCCCAGGCCAAGGCCGAGGTCGAGGAGGCTGGGCAGGGCAGGCAGCCAGCCCCGGCAACCCAGGCCAGAGCTACCTCAGCAGCTTCTGTGAAACTCTAGCAAGGCATCTACGCTTGAGCGGCAGCCCCAGGGCTGGAGAGGCTCGTGGGGGGAGAGGGACATTCCGCTGAGGTCAGCACAACCTCTAGAAACCTCTCCGGTGGAGGAGGAGGCCACAGAGTGACCCTGGACTCAGAGGTAGGTGGAAATGATACTTCCTGCTCCCTAGGGGAGATGACTCAAGCCCTGGAAAACTAGAATCCCGGGCTGAGCGGGTCCCCAGAGGACACCTGCTGAACACAGGAATCTCCTCTTCTCCCCCGTGGGCTACAGAGCCCCTGCTCTTGTGGCTGCTGGGGCAGGACGCTCATTCCCCTCCAGCGCAGCCCACTCCACTGACAGTCCTTTCTCACATCAACCATCACACTGTCACCCAGGCCTCCTCCGAGCCAGGGCCTGTGCTGGGGACCTGCCCTCCAGGAGCGCACCGTGTGGGGTTGGAGGAGGGGAGACACTGAGCACACGTGGTGATGGAGAAGCAGCGGGAGCCAGAGGGGGCCTGAGCCAGCCCCGGGGTGCAGTGGGGTGGGGTTCAGAGATGGTTTCCCAGAGCAGGGGAGGGACCAAGGAGGGCCCTGGATAAGTAGGTGTGGTGGGTCTGTCGCTTCAATTACCCCGTAAATGCTGACAAATCCCAGCTTTGCGTTTCTAGTCCTGACACGGCTCTTGAACTCCAGACTTGAATATCCCATTGTCCACTCAGTGTCTCCCTTGGGTGTCTCAGCATCCCTAACTCATCGGGACTGAGGCTGAGTCCACCGCTCTGCCCCCTCACTTCTGGCCTTCCTGTCTTGGCAAGCGTCCTCCTCACCCTCCCCACCCCGTATCTAGCTGGTCACCAGGCCCGAGTATCGGAGACCACCCACTGCCCCCCCACCTCCACACCACCACCAGCCAAGTGCCTTTGTCTCTCGCCTGCACTCCTCACACTCGGCCCCCTTCAAACATGTAGTGAGAGTGATCTGTCCAAATGCAAATAAAATTGTGTCACCTTTCTGCTTAAAAGCTTTCAGTGGTTCTCCTTGACTTTGGGATAAAGGTTAGAATGGTTCACAAGCTGAGCATGGCCCTGCTTTTGCTGACTATGCTAGTCACATCTCAATAGCCCTTGTCCCCCATTTCTTGACCTCTCGTCTCCAGCCCCTCCTCCCCCCCGGCCTTGTCCCCTGCCTCAGCAACCTTTGTACGTGTCATTCATATGGTCTCTCCTATGGCCACAGAGACTTGGCCTGCCCTCTTTTCTTCCTCCAAATGACTCCCAGGACATCTGTTCTTCACATGTGCACTGCCCTGAACACCCGTCTCTAGCCCTTTTCACTTGAAGGGACAGCTGCAGGACACAGCGGGGGGTTACAAAGTAACGGGTGTGTTCAGAAGCCAAGGTCCTGGAACCTCCCAGCAGCCCCAAGGCACATCCCTGCCTGGCTCCCAGATGCCTTCCAGAACTCCCACTTACCTCCTGCTCTCTTCCACTTCTGGCCAACTTCTTGGCAAACTTCCTCCCTCAGCCCTGCCCCTTCCTGGGCCTCCAGGCTGGTTCGCTCTGAGCCATCCAGCCTCAGGCCTCAGGCCAAGCACTGCCTCCTCTGCCTCTGCCAGGGCTCCCCAGGGCGGCCCTGGTTTTCTCTGGGCTCCCACAGCATTCCACACTCCCAGCACCCTCAAATCCACCTGTTGTGGCATCAGTTTCTCTTCCCCTAGACCAGGAGCTCAGCTTGCCCAGGGGCTGTGAGTTTCCATGTCTGCACCTTGAGCCTATCTCAAGGATGGTCCCAGAGGAGAGCTCAGAAAAAGCTCAGCATACGAATGCAGGACTAATAGCAGATACATGTGTGTTTTGTTTTCTGTTCACATAAACTGCTACCAAGCTCTATTTCCTTCATCCTGAACTGTTGGTGAAGAGTGGACCTAGGAGTCTGCTGAGCCTCGCTTTCGATCTAAGACCCACCAATCTCTTACTATGTGACCTGAGCTGCTCCAGCCCTCACTTTCTTCCCCTATAAAATGAGAACATCCCCTGCCTAGGGTTTTCACAATTAAGTGAGAAACTAGGGTGTGCGTGGTGTACAGTGTGTGCTCAGTACTTCCCGCTCCTCTCCCTCACCCCAAACTTTGAGCTCAGTGGGGACTTGGCCTTTACCTCCATGAACTTGAACCTATGGTGGTCACCTATGGGTCAAGTTAATCCAGATCATTTTGAAACCCAGTTCTGCCATCTGACATACTCAGGCTCCCACCCACAGATTTGATAAGCACATTTTATCTGGCCTCATCCAAGTCCTTCAAAAATACATCAGACTGAGCGAGACAGCATGGAGGACCAAGTCCCGAGCAGGGTACTGGTCTTCCCTCCACGCTGCCATTGATTCACTGACCCATTCTCCTCCACCCGCTGTCCAGGAAGCTGGGCATTCCCCTAGGGTGTTGCTATTCAATCCCACCTCTGGCTTGCCGTAGAAGAACCTTGGGAAATGTTCCAAATGCTTTTTTGAAATCAAGATTCCCAAGACTCCAACAGAACCCTGATCTATTACAACTCGGGTTCTCCCAGAGCAAGAGGGATGAGAGATTAGCCCAACTTCTTTTAGGTAAACCTAGGCTGGGGCCTGGTGACCCTACATTTTCTTCTTTTTTTAATGATATAAATTGTTCATTTTCTGCTCTTGGTTAATGCTGTTAAATTGGAAGAGTTTTCAGTGATCAGTGAAAAGTCCCAGTTAGAAATGATCAAATGAACACAGGCTACCTGCCTACAGCAGTTGTCTGTTGGCTGAAAACAGTTTAAAACCCTTCAGTAAAAACCCACCACTAGCATAAGAAATGTGCTTTCTGAATGAATGAATGTTTTCTATAGGAAGATGAACATCTGTCCTGCTCTTCTGACTCATTTTAAGTGTGGAATGGTAAAACCCAAATACTTGCCATCTTGTTATAATGAGTCCAACTTCACATTTTAAAAACATAGCAACATTGTGTCTTAATAAAAGCTTAGCTGTATATTTTAAGACCTACAAAATAAGCTTGGCCAACCATGACTTTCAAAGTTTTCTAAGATTATGGAGAATACAAGAAGCCAGTACAAGAGGAAATAGAATGAAATCCAGCAGGAATAATTTGTAATTAGAAAACCCCACGCAATTCTTCAGCCGGGGATAATGGTGATCCATCTTAAAAACACACGTGTCCCACGCTGGGCACTGATGAGCCTAATCAGACACACTCCACCGGCATTTTTCACAGTGCCTAGCGGCCCTTAATTGCTGGTGGGTGTGTGCGGGCAAACCTCTTGGGCTGCTCTCAGGAGATCATGATTAAGGGCAGGCCTGGAGCCAAACAGCCAGGGGCGGAATCCCAGCCCTCCTCCTAATCATCTGTGACCTCAGGGAAGTTACTTACCCCCTCTGCACCTCAATGCTCTCATCTTCAAAATCAGGACTAAGAACCACCACCTTTAAGGGCATTGGTGTGGAGACAGCATCAGCTGCTAGGGGAAGCCTGCCTGGCCCACACTATCTCTCCCCTCCCAGGTGCTACTGGGGCGCTCGCAGGCAGAACCAAAGGAGTGTCCACTTCCCTGCCTCTCTCCTCTGTTAGGGACTCTGGGCCCTGCCAGAAGGCCTGGCCTGTGTGAAGGGGCACTGTGCCCACAGTGGCCCTGCCTTGAGGCCCCGCAGGCCCTCTCCTCAGTACCCGCCCCACTCTGGCCGGTGGCCTGGCGGTGGCCCAGCTGGCCTGCCCAGCAGGGGTGGCTTCGTTCCAGCAAGGGCTGAGCTTCTTCATTTTGTTTTCGGCTTCAGCTTAACTATCAGGGGCAGCAAGGGGGGAGAAGAAATGTGCTGTTCCCAGGCTTCTGCCTCCTGTGCCTCACCCCCTGACTGGACATTGTCTTGGGCCCCAAGAAAGTGCCCCCACAGGTCCCCTGCATGGTGTCCCATGGATGGGAGTGACCCGACTCTCTCTGCCTCTGCAGCACCTCCACCATCTCTCCATCTGTCTCCCTCTTTTTGGGTCCTCTCCTGCCTGTCATGTCTCACAGCTCTTCTCAGCGCTTGCCACATGCCCGACCCTTCCTGGGCTGAGCATTGGGGGCACATAGATGACATAGGCAAGGGCTCTGCCTGCCGAGCACTCGTTTCACAGCACCAAGAACACGGGCTACACAGTGCACAGCCTGAGCTGGACCCTCCACTCAGCCCCTTTTAAACTGTAATCTTGGATCAACCACTTAACCTGAGTGTCTAGCTCTGTATTTTAAAATTAGGGCCAAGGTGCCTCTATTTCAGGGCCATTGTGAGAATTAAATGTGGTCCTCTGTATAAAGCCTTCAACTCAGTTTTCTGCACACAGCAGATGCTCAGCCTGCCTGCCTGCCCTCCCTCTTCCCCTTAGCTGGTGGCCTCTTCCAGACAGAGGGCCAGCGGGGCCCCTGGGTACAGGGGAGCCCTGCCCCCAGCCAGGTGGGGCAGTGTCAGATGAGCCTGTGCGGGGCCAAGTCCACAGAGGCAGTGGGGGCGAGGACCAGCCAGGCTCTGCCTGCCAGATGCTTTCTTTCAGTAGACTCAGTCCTCTGACCTCCTTTTTCTCTCTCCCAGTGGCTAATTAGTGCTGATTGTGGGCTCCTTTTTAGCCTTTCCTTTTCTGAACTTCCAACTGGCTTCTTTTTTCCTTCCCCAGGGCAGGGATGGGACCACACTGACAGGGCACAGCTAAAGCCCCTACCATAGCCAGGACCCGTGCTAGAGATGGATCAGAGCTGTTCATGTTGGCTGTGCCATGGGTTGCTGAGGCCCAGAGTTTGGGGTTGCCCCAACAGAGAACTTCTTACCTACTTCCTCTGCTATCCATCCATCTGTTCTGAGGTCTCTGTCCTATGTCCAGGATAGGTGGGACAGCCAATAATCAACATGCTGGCCAGCCTGCAAGGTCTTCCCGACCCCCACAGCCTTCCACTGAGTGATGAGCTCATAGAGGTCCCCAGGGATATCACACCCCTACTGGGTGGGGGAAGCTACTCCAACCCCACCTGGGGCTGCATGCTTTCTCTGTCATTTTGGTACACAGTCAAGGAAATCTGGGGTCCTAAAACCAGACCCACTGGGGGAAGCTAGCCATAGATCATCCTGGTAAATGGCCATCCTGAGGCTGGGGAGAAAAGGCTCTGGGTGGCAGGAGCTCCTGTTCTTGAGGCCACAGCTGGTGACAACAGATGGTCTGCCTGCAAAGAGCAGGCTCTCGGGGGGCTCCAGCACTCCAGTGGAGGGGGAGATGCACAGTCAGTTATGAGTCCCAGGGCCAAGGATTAGCAGCAAGGGGGGGGGTTGAAACCCAAGGTGGGACCCTAACATCTTCAATGATGAGGAAAGGACTGCGGCTGCAGTGAAATGAAGCTGCCCAGCTGGGCAGAGAGGAGGGCTGTGGCAGCTGGAGCCAGGAGGGCCACCACTTCCAAAGCAGCACAGATCAATGCAAATGGTAGGAAGTTCAGGGCGATGTCATGTTCTGACATGAGTTCTGAGCAGAAGTGGAGAAAGAAAGAGACTGCAGGAGGGGAGTGGTCAGAGGAGGCATCGGGAAAGCTTCCTGGAAGAAGAGTGTCACTGTAAAAGTTGTGCAATCTGGTGTCAAAGGTTTGGGAAGTGAACTGAAGATGAGCTCCAAGGCCCACAACTCTACATTCTCGGCAGGTGCCGGGGGTAGACGCTGGAGTTTCGCAGTGCCAAGGTGTCCTCCCTGCTCCAGCTCCAGCAAACGGGAGGCTGCCACATGTTCTCATCACGCCTTCTTCACCTGGAGCCAGAGCCTGCTGCCTGTTGGCCCCTCTGCTAATGGCTTCCAGGTGTGTCCTTGCGCCCCTGGAGGGAGACTTCCTAGAGGACACACCCCCTCCTGCCCACACCCCATCCCTCTAGTCACCTTCAGCCACAGTGCCTGGGGCAGGCCCTGGTGCCCTGCTGCAATCTCATTCCAGATGCGAGGGGCGTGGAAGGTAAGACTGCCTCCTTGTCTGATTGGCTACTGAGTTCTGAGGCCTCATCACCACCAGTGTGTGGAGCCCAGGTAGGAACATGAAAGTTGTCCTCTGGAATAAGACAGCTGGGTGGCCTGCTGCATCCTTGTGAGACAAGTGTGTCTGTGCCGGTGGCTCTCTGACCATGGGCCTGTTTCTTCCTGCATATCTGCAACTTTCTCTCTGCTGTCTGTCTTGCTAATAATTTGTCTCTATTTCTAAATCTATGTATCCATGTGCTTCTCTGTGTATTTCACAGCAAAGTTTTCCTTGACTATAATGACAAGTGCCATCAGTGTTTATTGTCTAATAAATAGAAGTTCAATATTGCCTTTCCTGCTTCCCCTCCCTGAGGCCTAAAGTTTTCATTCCAGAGTTATTTCCAGCCTGAATAGGGGAAATCTGATTCATGTTCTTCGGGGAGTGATTTGGACTTAAGAAGGCAGGAGGCTTGTAGCTGATGAACTGCAAAGCATCACTGGTGACAGAAATCACTCATGCATGGCTTGGAGCAGGCCCCAAGGCTCAGACACTTAGTGGTCACTGGGCCCATCCTCTGGTCTGAGCTGATGCTTAAGTGAGCATGTGCTCCTGGATCCGAGTTACACTGACCACCAGCTCCATCTGTCCCCATCCTCACCATTATCTCCTTCTTCATCACTGTCACTACTGTCATCACCACTATTACCATCATCACCACCACTATCACCATCGCCATTACTGTCAACACCACAATTCATACCACAGTCACCATCAACACCTCTGTTCCATTACTAAAGTCAGACACTTTCAGGTTGCTTTTCAATAGCTATTTCTTCTGTATCCTCAGTAACAATACCATACCTTTTTGCTGGATACATTATCTCACTAGCCCTTCAAAGCTAGTTTAAGTGTGGCTATGTAAGGGAAAGTGCTAGATGAAATTATGAGATGTGCCAATAAAGAGCAGGGGCACCTTTGTTTATCTTTTTCCTCCATTTGCTATCTGATGGATGGGCAGCACTCTAGAAAGCCACTCAGACCACAAGAATGAGGACTATACCTTAGGGAAGGTAAAGTGGGAGGCTGGAAGGAGTATGGGGTCATCATGCTGTGGAGAGACCACTCAGATGCTAGACTCCCACATCTGGGCTTTGTTTTGTGAGATAACAAACAAACTTCTATTTCTGCGTCATTTAAGAGATTATTTGGGGCATTCCGATGCATACAGTTGAACCTATCCTAATTACTATACATCATTACCACATATTACTTTGCATTGAACAGTCCAGGACAGTGATCTATATACGGGGCCAAGAGGAAAACAACAGGACGTGGGAGAAATCCCTACCTTGGGAAGTGGCCATGCTGATTCAGACAGTGGCAAAAAGGATAAAGACATTCAGCACCATGGACAGATCAAGGATCCCAGTTGTCAGGGACAGGGCAGGAAGAGGTGAGAAAAGAGTTTTATTTGTGGTAGGGCAGGTTATTTTCCTCAAGATATGTTCTGTGCCAGGCACTGTGCTAGGAACTGGGCTAAATACCAAAGATAAATTCCCACTAGGTCCACATTTAACTCCTGGGACGCAAGCAAGCAGATCAGCATGTGAAGGCTTCCTAGAGTAGAAGGAAGGGACTGAGAAGCCAGCTGAGGGGAAGAACAAGAAGACTGTGTGACAGGTGGGACAGAACACTGAAGAATAAGGGACACTTGTGGGTGGGGCGAGGCCCAGCTGAAAAAGGGTGAATGTGTCAACTCGTCTTTGAATGAAAGGAGAGTGCAGCCCTGGGCAGGAGTTAAAGACAGTGAGATTTCAGTATTTCTTTATTCCTCAAATTCTACATCAGTGGTTCTGGTTTCTAGTCCTAGACTTCTATGATGCTGTGATTGTCAGGACACATGAAATCTATGATCAAGATTCTATGATTCCAACTCTAAGGCTCTGCATCAGTTATCTACTGCTGTGTAACAAACCACCCCAAAACTTAGCAGCTTAAAACCACCACCATTTTATTTGTTCACAATCTGTCAATCAGCCATTTGGCTCAGGTTGGCTGGGCAGTTCTGCTGGTCTCACCTGGGGTCACTCAGGCAGCTGGAGCCGGGTAGAAGGTCATCTGGGAGCTCGTTGGTCTAGGGGGCTTCTGCTGGGGTGGCTCGTTTTTGGTCTCCTCCTCCAAGAGGCTTGCTTGTGTTTCCATACATGGTGATTTCAGGTGAGCCCCACTGCACTGGCAACTTTTTAATCCTCTACTTGCCTCATATTTGCATGATGTATCATTAACCAAAGTAAGTCACATGGTCAAACCAAAGTCAGTGTAGGAAGAGATGGCACTGAAGTATGGATTCACATAGGCAGGATTCATGTGGGACCATTAACATCACAACCTACCATAAGCTCTAAGTGTCTCATTCACCACCATTCATATTACCAGCACCATAAGAATCAATGTGCTGATTCAAAAAGACCATGTTCTATGGCTCTTTCAGTCTGTAGTTCTTATAACTCTAATGTGTTGATTCTAAGATCCTGTGATTCTAGAACTGGAAGGCTCAATACAGCTGAGGAAGAACATGAGGACCAAGAGTAGGCTAATGAAGTTGGGCAAACAAAGGTCACACTCAGATCTGAGCAAGAACCCACCTGCCTCTTCCATCCCCAGGCCTCAGCCCCTATCTTCCTGCCTGGATCAGGGCAGTGGCATATGCACCAAGTCGGGAGCCAGAAAACCTAGATTATAGGCCCTGTTTGATCATGAATCAGGTTGGCCCCAAGCACAGCTCTTGAACTCCCAGCATTCTCACAGAGCCACAGAGATCCCAACCTTCCGAATGATGCAGAACAGTGGCAAAGCCAGGAGAACTGGGCCCACTAACTTCTGTTATCAGGAGCCTGGGCCCTGGTGCAGTTGAGGAAGAGGGTTTTGCTCTCATTTCTTTGAACTGCATCCACAGCTGCTGAGTTTTAAGGAAACCAATATTCAATAGCTTATTGCCCTTGGTCGGTCCTGACCTCTACTTGCAAAAGGAAAAGGGGAAGGGGAGAAGGGAGGGAGAGAGGAGGTACGGAAGATGGTCTGACTCAGATCTTTCCCCTTTCTCCCCGCCCACTCCTGTCCCTGACTCAGACAAGCTGAATCCTGGGCCAGCCCCTACCTGGCCTTGAGCCTCAATCTGCTGTGCCCTTTAGCTTCTCCCTGAAGATGAGTGTAGAAACAGAGTGGCTCTTTTAGGGAAGGAGCCTAGACCAGCACAGCAAATCATGAAATTTTACAGCTAGAGGAGGACCAGCAGCAACCCACCAGCTGAAGCACCTTGTAGCACAGGTGAGGAAACAGAAACCCAGAGAGGGACAGGGTCCTGCTCACAGTCACACAGCCAGTCAGTAGTGACCAGGACCAAAAGCCAAGTGGGGTCTCTACCTTTTTCTAAACTTCAGTTTCCAGTTCTAAACTGGGATGACAAAGCTGGCCTAGGGCGCCACTTACAAACTATAAAGCAAGGTACCAATGCAGTTAGGAATCCTCTTTTTTGATGGCCTGGGGTGGGAGGATTGAGGTGGGGGCAAGAACATTTTCAGAGAACTCATCCAGCTCATTTATTCTAGCGTCCCCCAGGGGCCCGGGCAGCAGAGTGGAGGAGGAGGGTATTAAATATCAGAGAGTTATTTAAAAGCCGGTTGCCTGCCCCTCAGAAGCAGAACCCGCCTCTGCTGACTCAACGGAGAAAATGAATCTTGGGCCTATGGATTTTCGTGTGTCTGATGGTGGTGGGGGAAGGGGGGGAGTGAGAAAGGGGTGAACAACAAGGCCCAGAGCGAGGCCTTCCCCTCCCTGTGGTCAGGAAGCTGTGCAAGAGGAGAGAACCCTCCCCCACGGCCTAATGACTGATCTTCATCATGCCAGGCCTGCCCGGCTGCTCCCCCATTCACCTCGAGGAGGAAGGGGGAACAGAGGGAAAGGGAGGCAGCACGAGGACAAAGGGAGCCTGGGTCCCAGGACCCCTTGCGCTATAGCACCCAATCTGGAAGGGCCCCCAGCCGCCCTGCCACTACTTTATAGCTGGGCAACTAAGGCCTTAACTGGGGTGGAGCCAAGTTCAAGGTCACACATTAAGAAGGTAGGGGCATCAACTTGGGCAAATCACAGCATTATTGTCCCCTTCCAGACCTCCATCCCTAAAAAGCTAAGGGGCATTAGACTAAAAGGCCTCCAAGACCATCCTGTTCACACACACACGCACACACACACTTTTTTACTGGCAGAGAAACTGAGGTCTGGAAAGACAGAGACTTGCCCAAGGATTTCAGTAACAGTGAGACACTTCTGATGACAAAATAGAACTGGAGCTTGATGGGGAAGGAGCTACCTGCTGGATGACCTCAGGGAAGTCACCAAACCTCTCTGTGCTCCCTACCAAGGCTCAGTGGAACTCAAAGAAAGCAGAGTCTGTACCAGGAGAAAAGGGACCCAGTGGAGGAGCTAGAGGAACAGGGAGGGGACAACAGCTTGGGAGGCTCAGAGAGGGGCTCTGGGACCTAGTGGGGTAATACATTGAAGAACTGAGGTCCAGTGTGGCTGACATGGGGAGGGCGGTCACTCTGCCTTTGTGGGGATGGGGTGCCTTGCTCGTGTTGAGTCCTAAGGAAACCCTGAGGGCCTGAGCTCTTGCCCACAGGCTCCCCTGGGATCTGACCCAGCCACACTCCAGGAGAGAGGGATCCTAGGACGGGGAGGGCTGCGGCAGAGGAGATGAGCAAGAAACCTGAGCTCTTGTCCGGCTCAGGTCCCAGTCAGCTGTGCAACCTTGGGGAAAGCACTTAACCTTTCTGGGTGGTTGTCTCCTGGTGTCGAGGATAGACAGGGGATCCTCACCAACCTCACTTTATAGGGATGGGAGAATAGAGCCAGGGATTTTAAAATCATTATTCCATTCAGTAAACAATTCCTGGTGCCTTCTCTGTACTGAGCCCTGAGCTGTGTGCTGACAACACAGGAAACAAAACCAGTCCTGAGCCCCTGTTGCTGACAGTCAAGGAGCTCAGGGGAGTCAAGCCCTCTGATCACTAAACGAAGTTCAAAGAAAGTCACAAGAGCCACAGGGCTGGACTGGAGAAACAGCCAAGAGGAAAGCACCCGGGGGGTGGGGGGGGGCGGCAAACAGTCCAAGAAAACATATTTCTACTGGATGCATCAGAGAATAAACACACAACCCCAGACTCAATAGACATGCATTTATTGAACACCTACTGAACACTGACAACTCCCAGACGGAGAGGGCTGTCTTTCCAGAGAACAAAGACCACCCCTCCTCCAAACAGCTCACAGACCGGGGTCTAGGGGAACTTGGACAAGAAAGAACTTGAAAGGGAAACAGCTATACAGAGTAGGGAAAGAGGGGAGGAGGCTGAGTAGAGGCCACACCTTGAGTCAAGCAAGTACAGACTCATTTTATTAATAACCACCATGAATTTGATGTTTGGGGGGAGGGAGAGACATGGAAGAGGGAAAAATTACCTGAGAGCTAATTGAAACCAGAAAGGGACAATGCTGGGGTTGCAAGGATGGGTGGCCGCATGGGTACTAGGCCCCCCGACCCTAGGTGATATGGCTTTTCTTATTTTGACACACTTTCAATTGACTTTATCATAACAGCCCTGAGAGGAGTAGGAAGAAGAGGAATTCAGAAGCCTACCCACTTTACGGAAGAGGAAGCTGACAGCAGCCCGAGGTGGAGAGAGAGGTCGAAGGTCATGACAGACCAACCTTGGCATCCACTCCTGGCTCAGCGTCCTGGGCTCAGGATGAGGCTTTCCGGGAGAGGAGGACCCTCTCTGATGCAGCCCGCCATCCTGGACAGAGCCCTGGGCAAGGACCCTGGGGCCAGGTTTCTAGGCTAAACCCTGACAACCACTGGCTTTGGGACAAGTCCCTGGCCCTCTGGCCTCAGTTTCACCATTTGTACAGCACAGAGAACATCTGCTTTGCTCTCCAGTACCCGATGATTCTAGGTCATCTCTGGGCCTCCTTTTCCCAACTGAGGTGTCACCCCCAATCAAGGCTGCCTACTGTCCTGCCCTTTCCAAGGGAAGGAGCTCTGGTCTTGGCAATGTCTGTGATTCCTCAGGGGCTGGAGGCAGAAGGGTCTGTATGCAGCAGGACAGGGAAAGACTGTTCTGTTCATTCACTCATTCACTTATCCACAGACATTTACTGCACACTCTCACTAGTCCCTGTACTGGAAACATAAAAGTGAAGATGACCTAGTGCCTCCCACTAGGGAAGATGTCAGAGCTGGGGCTTTTAGTTGCAAGGGCCAGTGTTGAGGGGCGTGCAGTAGCAGAGGGCCTGACCCCAACAGCATGTATTTGAGCACTTGTACCCACATGAGAAAAGACACCACCAGCCTTTTACCTCCACAGACCAAGGGCATGGTGCAGGGCAGGTGTGGGCGCCTAGCATGTGGCTAATCTCTGGATGCATGTGCTTGCATGCATGGGTCTGAAAGCTTGCCCCTCTGAGAATGCACCCAGAAACTTACACAGCCCAGAAATATGCATATTCAAGTATGTATGTGCTTATGAATCTAAGGACACATACCAGGACGCACTCAAACCTATGATCCTATGTGCACATCTATGAATGCATATGTATATGAGTCTATACATACTCGCATGAGGTACACCTAAGCCTGCCTAGAATGGTGAACAAGCTTGTGTAAGCCTTCCCATGCATGTGTATGCACATCCAAGTAAGTGTGACTCTGTTCACATGCAGACACACCTACGTCTGTGTCGAGCTTGCCTTCACCTGTACAGATACATATGTATGTACAATCTCATGTGTGCATGTGTATAGATGTGTCCAGTCCTGCATGTTCAAGTTACTGTTCTCCATCTGCCAATACCTGGGAGAGCTATTAGTGGGGGAGAAAGGGCTAGGGGAAGGGAATGCTGGGGGACCCCCACCATCACCAGCCCTAGTCCTTAATGTTGGTCTCTGCCCAAGACCCAGGCCACTGCAGGGTCTGCCTCTTCTCCTTAAGTGGTATTGATCCGTTGGTCGATCTGTTAAATATAACCTTGGGGAAAGAATGAACCCAACAACGTCCCCAGTTCAGGAGAAAGAGACTGAGTGATTCTTGGGAGAAGGGGGGGAGGCCTCTATCCCAACCAGTTCTGCTGATATCGGAATGGCCTGAGGATCAGGTGTCAGCCTCTCCAGTGTGAATAATTCATGCTAAGGCTAGGAATGTTCTCTTCTCAGGAGCCTGTCTCTTTAAATCAGGTCTGGAGCTTCCCAGTTGGGGGGAGGGGGGAATCCAGAACAAAACAAATCTATAAACAGCTCAGCTCCCACCTCAGCCTTGGCCCCTTCTGAGACCCCCACTCCATGCTGCAAAATCTGCTCCTGTTCTTCCAACCTCTGGAGCCGGGAACCCTCCCACCCCATTCGCCACTTACAGGTGGGGAAGCCTGAAGGGGTGGCTGGGCTGGTTGATGGTGTCTAACGGAACCCCAGGGGTCTAGTGGGGTACCGAGATGCCAGAGCAGGGAGGGAAAGCAAAGAGCTGAATCACTACACACACACACACACACACACACACACACACACACACACACACACACACCGGTCCCTGTGGTCAACAGAGTGCTTGAGCAAGGAGTCCAGCCTGGTGGGGAAACCAGATGGGAGAACTCCTAGCAGAGGGAGAGCAGCCAGAGAGTTGGGGGCAGGGGTGCGGGGGGACGGAGGGAGACTTCCACAGGGGATGGGATAGAGAAAAGTCTAGTCCCACAAGACCTTCAGGTGGTGACCCAATGGGGTCCAATGGAACTGGGGTCGCAGAGGAGGCGAAGGCTGGGGATTTTCCAATCTCTCTCTCCTAGTAAAGCCCTTTCCCTGATCACAGAGATTAGGAAGAGGTTGAAAAATTAGTAACTTTCTCAGCGCCCCCTTCATCCCTGCCTCCTCTGGTAGCGGCCGATCTAAATTCCTCTTCCCAAAATTCTTCCTGGTGCTGCCCCACCTGCCTGCTCTCCCCAGCCGGCCCTGCCCCACACGTGCCAGAGAGAGGGGAGGAAGGAACCAGCTTAATCCTGGGGGATGGGGAGAAGGGGGGGAAGCAAGTCAGAGCCTCGCGGAGCCAAACTTCTCAGCAGCCCTGGAGCTGGAGAGGGGGGAGAGAAAACGCAGCAGCCGAAAGCCCTGATTCTCCGGAGCCTCCCACCCCGCCTCCCTCGGCGAGGAGGGCGCGGAGGCTCCGCTGGGGGCGGAGGAGGAGGCTGGGAGGCGGGGAGGGGGGAGGCAAACCCTGCCCACTCGGCTCGGAGCCCGGAACAGCCGCGGAAGTCGGAGGCCCGCGCGCAGGGTGAGGAGGGCAGCGGGGGCGGGGGGCTCCGCTGCCCGCCTAACCCCTCTCGCCCCCAGCCAGGAAAGTGAAGGCTCCTCGGACTTTCGAGACGGCGGACAGACCCACACAGATTGGCAGCCACTCCGGGTCAAGGACTTGCCCCACCCGTGCCTCCCACCAGGCGCTCCCAACTCACTGGTGAGCGCAGCGGCCCGGGTGCTGGATGCAGGGACGGCCGCGATGGCCCCGCGCGCGGGACAGCCGGGGCTCCGGGGACCGCTGCTGCCGGGGCTGCTGCTCGTGGCGGCGGCGCTGAGCCGGCCCGCTGCGCCGTGTCCCTTCCAGTGCTACTGCTTCGGCGGCCCGAAGCTTCTGTTGCGCTGCGCGTCGGGCGCCGAGCTCCGGCAGCCGCCGCGGGACGTGCCGCCCGACGCGCGCAACCTCACCATCGTGGGCGCCAACCTGACGGTGCTGCGCGCGGCCGCCTTCGCCGGCGGGGACGCGGACGGGGACGAGGCGGCGGCGGGCGTGCGCCTGCCGCTGCTGACGGCGCTGCGCCTCACGCACAACAACATCGAGGTGGTGGAGGACGGCGCCTTCGACGGGCTGCCCAGCCTGGCTGCGCTCGACCTGAGCCACAACCCGCTGCGCGCGCTGGGCGGCGGCGCCTTCCGCGGGCTGCGCGCGCTGCGCTCGCTGCAGCTCAACCACGCGCTGGCGCGGGGCGGGCCCGCGCTGCTGGACTCGCTGGACGCCGCGCTCGCCCCGCTGGCCGAGCTGCGCCTCCTCGGCCTGGCGGGCAACGCGCTGGGCCGCCTGCCGCCCGCCGCGCTGCGCCTGGCGCGCCTGGAGCAGCTGGACGCGCGCCTCAACGCGCTGGCCGGCCTGGGCCCCGACGAGCTGCGCGCGCTGGAGCGCGAGGGCGCCCTCCCCGGGCCGCGCCTGCTGCTCGCCGACAACCCCCTGCGCTGCGGCTGCGCCGTGCGCCCCCTGCTGGCCTGGCTGCGCAACGCCACGGAGCGCGTACCCGACGCGCGGCGCCTGCGCTGCGCCGCCCCGCGGGCGCTGCACAACCGGCCTCTGCTGGGCCTGGACGAGGCGCGGCTGCGCTGCGCCGACCGCGACGCCGACGGTCGCGGGGAAGACGCGGAAGCCGCGGGCCCGGAGCTGGAAGCCTCCTACGTCTTCTTCGGGCTGGTGCTGGCGCTCATCGGCCTCATCTTCCTCATGGTGCTCTACCTAAACCGCCGCGGCATCCAGCGCTGGATGCGCAACTTGCGCGAGGCCTGCCGGGACCAGATGGAGGGCTACCACTACCGCTACGAGCAGGACGCCGACCCGCGCCGCGCGCCCGCCCCCGCCGCGCCCGCCGGCTCCCGCGCCACCTCGCCGGGCTCGGGCCTCTGAGCTTCGCCTCCCGGGGGCTGCCCCTGCCAGCTGGTGATCTTACGGGGGCCACCTGGCCTGAAGCCGTGGACATGAGATACCCGCGAGGTTGGAGCTCCTAGACCTGCCTGAGACCTTTGGATCCTGGCATTCCCCAACTCGGTGGCCCTGACCTGTACCCCTTCTCCACCGCCTCTGAGACCTACCGTCACAGACCCAGAGACATACCTTCTGGTTCCAGAAACCCCAACTGCCCACCCTAGGTTCTGAAACATCCCTCCTGGACCACTGAAACCCCCTCCCGGTTTCAAGACCCACCCATAGACCCTGTCTGTCCTTCCATCCGAAAGCTGCCTCCACCACCCTGGGCTTGGAGCCCCGGCACTAGACTGCGCTGACCCACATTTCCAGCTTGGAGCTCTCAGCTCTCCTCTCAGGGCTCATGGGCCCTCCCATCCCATTCTGGTCTCAAAAGCAGAGTGCCCCTATCAGAAGGTTTTTGTGGACTTTGAGCCCTTTGTCCCATCCCAGAGCTCTGAGCCTTCCATCCTACATGGAGACCCATATCCTTGGGCTCTGAAGGTCAGGCACCCTCCTCCTTATGAGGATATATTTCATACCCCTGCCTCCCTCATCACACACAAACGCACGCGCACACACACACACACACACAGCTCTGGCTCAGGCCCCTCCCTTCCTCGGTCCAGGCCTGGGCTGAGCTCCCAGTCTGTATCCCCCAGGGACAAGCACACTCCCTTCTACCCTTAGTGTAGAGCCGACCCTCAGCCTTTTCCACCCAGGCTCTGATCTCCCAATACTCAGTGCTTGCCCCCAGTCTCAGACTCTCAGCTCTTCACCCCAGTCTGAGTTTCATCCCACTGCCCAGGCCTTAGGCTCTCGACTCCCCCACATCTAGTACCTGTACTCAGTCCCCACCTCTGCCACTCACTAGTCAAGATCCTGGATGTGTTCACCCCCTCTCCTCCCTGGATGAGATCTCCAGTCTGCCAGACAGGTGCAGGTGCCAAGCAGCCCTAGTGCTTACTGGCAGGCCCCGTGGGGAAGGAGAGAGTCCTGGGTGTGTGAAGGGGATGGTGTGGCTTCAGAACCAGGGTCTCCCGTCTGTCGTGGCTGCAGAGAGAGGCAGGGAGTGGGCTCTGAAAGGCAGGGAGCTGCTGCTCACTGTTTTCTCCAGGCTCTTTCTCACCTAGTGTGGTTCTTCTCCCTGGGGTTTCTTTGCTGCCATGACCCCACCCCATATGCCTTCTGGAAGAGAAAGGGTCTTGCCTCCTGCCTCAGGCACAGGCTCCTGGTTCAGGGTCAGAGCCTCAGCACCCGCCTTCTGCATGATCCCAAAGCACAATTGGTGAGTAGGGAGGGGCCACCTCTCCCTGACTCCCCACCCCCTAGGTCAGGCAGAACGGCTGGCCTGTGCTGTCTCTGCACACAGGAAGTCACCCTCCTTTAATATATTGGCTTGAGGCCTGCCTTCCCACCCATCCCCAAAACTCTGGATCTCCCTCGGGCAGTTTTCTATAAAGTCTGCAATAATCTCAGACACTCTGCTCTCGTAAGTGGTGCCATGTCATTCCCGATGACCTTGGGGCACTGATGGGGGTGGGAGGGGATACGTGGGAGGGCATTTTGGACTCCCTGAGGTGGAGCAGTGGGTCCTACTTGATGTGTTCTCCCTGACTATGAGAGAAGAAAGGGGCTCTGACTGTACATGGCAGGATTAAAGCTAGACACTTGAAGGGACTTCCCATTGGGATGACACTGCTCTCCAAGCCAGTCTGTGTTTTATCCTCAAAGGTGGGGTTATGCACAGCCAAGGTGGCCTCGGATGGTTCCTCTGCATCTTCAGGGTGGGGGTGGGGATGTAGTTGGACTAACAAGCTAACAGATGAGGCTACGGAGAGGAAATCCATCTACAGAGGATGAGGCAGTTATTCAGACAGGGAAGAGGAGGGATGGTTTGCCATAGGGTCATCCCTCTGATGAATTACCTGATACTCCTTATGCCCTCCGTCACGCCATGCTGTCCTGGCTGGAGGGGTAAGAACTGCACACTCGATATGGGAGAGGCTGAGAACAGCAGCCTAGAGGTCGGGGGGAGGGGTGCATAAAATGACTCCTTGAGATATGTGGAGCAGGGGGACAGGTGGCTTCTGGGCCAGTAAGGCCTCAGGCCCCCAGGTGGGATTATTTTGCATTCAGGGTCACAGAGTTCTAGAACCATGGGGCAGAAGTCTAGAATCCGGGCATTTTAGAATCTTAGGGCCACATAATTCTAGAATTTGTTCCTTGTAAACATTGAGAAGGACCTCAGAGGTAATGTGGGAAGCCTGCTAAACTGTCTCAACAGGGAGCTGCCTCATGATGGGGAGCTCACTCCCTTCCCTCCTGGGGGCACTGGAGACACAGAGAGAAATCAGACCTAAGATGTGCCCATGGAGGCCAGACAGGCAGAGGGATGAGGGAAAGAGAAGGGAGCCTAGAACAGATCTTACGGGGAAAGGTGAGATGGGGGTCTGGCCAGCTCCGCCCCGACTCCCCGACACCACCGCCCACTCCAGACCCTCTCTCGGCGGTGCCAAGGCCCCACTGGATGGCCGGCCTCCTGCCCTAGTGGCACACTGTGAGTACTGCTGCAAGTGCGAGGTGGGCCAGGCCCGGAGGCCTGGGAACTGCAGGGGCCAAGAGGCAGAGGGAAAAGTCTACCTCTAGGATGTCGCTTTAAGAGCATTCGGGTAGGGAGCAGGAGAGAAGAAAGGTGTGTGTGTGTGACTGTCAGAGATGTGGCAGACAGGAAAGCAGCTGTGCACTGAAGGAACATGGCAGACTTCTCCAGGTTCTGTGACCCTGCGAACTTCTGGAAATCGCCTTGCAAAAACATCTTCTTGAGACACCTTCCACTTGCATGCTCCCTGGCCTGCTCGCACCCCTCGGCCCTGCAGTGGGAGCCAGGCCGGCCTGTCTAGAGTTAGAGGACCGGGTCTGAGTCTGAACTCGGCACCCGACTTGCCACGTCACCTGGCCCTTGGTCAGAAACACTAGTTGAGGCCCGACTGCGTGCCGGATGCTGAGATTCAGCAGTGACCATGGCAGAGCAGCTCCTGCTTCCTGGCCCAGCCCGACACTGTGGCCTTGGATGTCCCTGCCCCACTGGCTCCAGGCTGGGGCTGGACTTGTGACCTCTGGAAGCACGGCCTGCTCTCCGTGAAGTCCATCTCCTTTTTCATTAAGTCTCTGCCTGGCAGACTCTTGGCCCTAATTTATGGGCATGGCCTTTCCCAGACTGGGAGAAGTGACGGGGGCAGTTAATATTCCTGTGGTAATGTACTTGGCCGCCTTCGGAGTCCCCTCCTCCACTCCCTCACCCCTGCCTCACCACCCCCACCCCCCCTCCCTCAGCGCTGCCACAAGGCAATTTACCAGGGATTGGCCAGAGCCATGCAGAACAGTAACTCTTCATTGGATGGGTGGGGAAACTGAGGCCCAGAGTGCGCAAGAGCCCATCCAGGTCACACTGGTTGGCAGGAGCAGCTCAAGAGCCCAGGATGTCCCCAGATACTGGGTCTGAGTATCTGGCAGGGCCACCACACCTCCTAACTTGTATCTCAACCCTGTGGTCACTGCCTCCAGGAGCCAGACCCAAGCCTGTGGCAGCCTGGAGGTGAAACAAATGAAGTGAATGATGGAGGGGAGGGAAGACTCTTCAGCCTCCACTGGCAGCTCCCAGCAGGCTTCAGAAATCCCCGCCAGCATCTCACAGGCAGCAGCCCTGCTGGGACCCATGTCCACCCTCCCAGAGGGGAGAAAGGGGCCAGTTCTGGACCCCCAAGCTCTGGGGTCCCCAAGCATTGAAGTCATTATTCCTGTGATTCTATTCTCTGCTGAGCACTTGCTGAGCATGAGTGAACCAGATCCTGCTTCTGTCCTTGGTCAAGACAGTGACCATGTAGGGTCACCGTGATCATAATGCACAGGGGCCCAAGGAGACCTTAATAAGGTGATCATCCAGACTGGCAAACTCTGGCGTGAAAAGGGACATTATTAATAATGACACGGGTGTGAGAATGAACTGGGACTGTACCAAGCTGGTGGGCCCTGGACTCCACTGACTTTTGACAAGACCTGGAGGGGACAAGAAAAAGTGCTAGACTATTAGGCGAGGCCGGCTAGTCCACCAGCACTAGGTGACTGTTACACTCCCTTTCCTGGAACCCTGTTCTCCAGCCATACCAAACTACTCCAATTTTAGTAACTGAGCCCAGCTATTTGATGTCCCTGTGCCATTGTCACACAGTCCCCTCTGCCTGGATGCCTTCCACGACACAGACAGCATTCGAGGCAACTCGGGAGTCCCCTGGGCCTTCTTGACCTCACTCTTTCTCCCATTGCTGTGCCACCCACACCTTTATCTGTACTGACTGGTTCTCTTGTCCCCTGTCTGCAACAGACAAGAAGCTGCCCCCAGGACAGAGGCTGGGCCCAGTCCACTTTTAGGCACCCAGTCTTGGTGTGAAGAGATTTGTGAACACTCTTGCAGTCCCCAGCCCCACAGAAATACAAAACACAGGGGAAGAGGCACCACACGGGGAGCTACACGTGGGATGAATGCACGCTTCCTCTGACTCCATGGCCTCTCGCTTCATGAAGCTGAGGTTGCGGCGATATACGATGCCGGCATGGCCAGCTGCTTTGTTCTACAAAGTGAGTAGACAGAAAGAAAATGCAGTTTTAGAACGTGATTGTGCAAAACACAATTTAGTCTTGGCTTCCTAACTGTGGTTTTCTAATACAGTGATAGCTTCCTGGCCCTGTGTTTGGAATACTTGTGCAGGGCTTGGTCGGGGCAGCGCCCACCACTGGCTGAGCCTCACTTCCCGGCCCCAGGGAGCTGCAGGGAGAGCTGTTTGCAGATCTGTGTCCCCGCAGAGACAACTTTAACTTTTCTCTGCATACCTACGCCATCTGCTGGTGGAGATGGGAAAGTTCCTTTTCTCAGTCAATCCATTCAGGTATTTAAGTGCCTACTATGTGCCAAGCACTGTGCCAGGAAGAAGCAGGAGATACGATTTTGAAGAAAACTGACAAGACCTCTGCCCTTATGAAACAATAATAGTAATAACTTTCACTTGTATCATTTGCCATGGGCCAGGGATTGTTCTAGGCACTTTACATATTTATCCTGACGACGGTTCTATGAAGTAGGTATCGTTATTCCTCCTTTACGGATGAGGAAGCTAAGGCACACAGAGGTGAATAATACGCTGAAGGTCACATGCCTCACAAGAGGCCAAGTTCGGCTTAGAACTCAGGCTCTGCTCCACAGCCATGTTCTCAAACTGCCAACAAGTAAATGAATAAGCAAGATACTTCTGAGGAGGAAAGTAAGCAGAGTGAGGGCCAGGGAGGGAGCTCCTCCGAATAGTGTAGTGCTGGAAGACCCCTCTGAGAAGGCAACCTACGCTGAAGAATGGAAAGAACAAGCTACATAAAAAGCCTTGGAAAAAGTAATCCAGGCAGAAGAAACAGCCAATGCAAAGGTGCTGAGACCAAATAGTCAAGTGTCACATGGGATGCAAGTGTGGCTGTTCTAGCCCTAGACACCTCTCCAGTCTATCCTCTTTTTTTGAGACAGAGTCTCACTCTGTTGCCCAGGCTAGAATGCCTTGAATTAGCCTAGCTGAAAGCAACCTCAAACTCCTGGGCTTCAGTGATCCTCCTGCCTCAGCCTCCCGAGTAGCTGGGCCTACAGGCATGCGCCACCAGGCTCTGCTAAGTTTTTCTATTTTTAGTAGAGATGGGGTCTCACTCTTGCTCAGGCTGGTCTTTAACTCCTGACCTCAAGTGATCCTCCTGCCTCAGCCTCCCAGAATGCTGGGATTACAGGTATGAGCCACCAGACCTGGCCACTTCAGTCTATCCTTATTCTCCATCCCCACCTGGTCCCAGCCTCCACATCTCTCATCCAGATCCCTGCCCCAGCTTCCTCTCTGGTCCCCTGCCTGCAGTTTCCCCTCTGGTCTGTCCTGCG